AATTATTTACGTATACAAACATTAAATTTTTGCAAAAACTAGCACATATTCAAGCGCAGATGCATCTACACAAACATATTCTGACACAAACAAACAAACATACACATGCACATACATAGGGAAAACAGACACATGAGCATACACACACACATAAACATATACGTAAATAGAAAGGAACATAAGCACAAACACACATAAAAACACGCATACGTAAAAACACACAAACACATACACAGGGTTAGGAACATAGACACACACACACACACACACACACACACACACAAGCTCGTCCACTTGTTGTATTAAGCCACATTCATTTGCTTAATCCCATGTGCAACTGTTGCTGAGTTTTCTTGCCATACTCAATATGTCGCATATTTACTAAGCATTGTCATTGTCCTCTCCTGCTTGCTTCCATGGCTGCCTGTCTCCGTTGTATGTGCTCCTCATATAAAATGTCTATATTTAATATGCTTGTATGTTTGATTGTATGCATATTTGAATGTATGTTTGTACGTATGTGTGCCTGAATGTGTGTTTATATGTGTAGTGATGTCTTTATATGTCTGCATTCTTGTATATTCATATTCCTATGTTCCTTTAATATCAGGTTTTATTCAGCAAGTATGTTTAATGCGTGTCTTAATTTTTGCGCACCACATGCATGTTGTATATGTATTTATATGTGTGTATGTGTGTGTGCGTATGTGTGTGAGTGTGTGTTTATATGTGTGTGAGCACGTTTAAATGTCGACACGTGCATTTGTATATTCAGATTAATCTTCGCAGGCGCCATTTTGTGAATGTTTGCATGCATTAGATGTGAATTCACGTATTTGTATATATTTATACACATGTATATATCAACTGCATAAGTATTTATGGGTGCATGAAATATATATGTATGCGCGCGCGTGTGTGTGTGGATATTGCCTCATTTGTAAGTAGTCTGTTTGACAGGCTGCTTGGATGTCTCTCTCTCTATTGAATTATTCATGTAGTGTAGTTGTCTGTTGGATTTGTAGAAAAAAATTCTCTAGAAATATGTTTTGAATCCATATTATATGAGGTGTTCACTGTCTGGATGTATTTTGTTTTGTTTCTCATTCAACCAGTGTTTGTTTGTTTGTATGGTACATCTATCTATGTTGTTGTTTTGGGATTGTTTCAAAATAATAAGACGTCCTCACACGATCATGATCCCACAAAGAGCCAACTGACCAGGCATGAGAAGGATTGACTGACATGTGTAGTAGGCAGGTTCTTATGAGATGCTGCCTTCTCATTCATGGTTCAGTCATTCATTCCTTCAGTTGCGTTTCAAATTAATTTATTTTTTTTTCCTTTGCTTCAGCATTGAAGGACGACAAAAGTTTGTTTGTCACTTCAACTTGCACATATTGAGGTCATCTTTCCTTTATTTTGCAATTTATTTTCTTGATGCATAGTTTCTTACATATTTTAATTTGCTCATAGTTCATTAATGTTTTTTTTGGCAAAATTTACGCACGCGTACGCAAGCACACACGCACGCACGCACAGACACCAACACATGGATATAAATTATTTACAAATTTTAATACAGACGTGCACGCATTTTGCGATCTCCTCATATTGAGTGCGTTGTTTTTATTTGGCGAACATAAACTTAAATGCCCATCTTAATGCACACACACACACACACACACATATACACAAACGCATAACTTCAGTGCATTTCTTTGACTAATGTGCACGTTTTGTTCATTTATTAACATACGAACGCATGCATCACGTACACCTGCATTGCAACATACAATACACACATACGCTTGCGCATGGAGACATTCAGAGACACTCAAAATACATGTATGGATGGAGCATAAATACATGCATGAATACCCAGATGCATGAATGCACACATGAATATAGAGATGCATGCTTGATGCATTCGCTAATGCAGGCCTAGCACGACCGATTGATCCTCGACCATGACGAGAAGCCATAAAGTTAAGCTGAGATATCTTCTATACAACATTTCATTGGCTCTCTGCCTGCCTCTGATGTTTCATATGATGTCCACCGACCGACCGACTGACCAGATAGCATGCAAATTTTATCGGTTAACAGCTCCTAACAGTACAGCGTTCCAGCATATTTCATGTGCTAACAGTCACTGACAGTACAACAATCTACTTTTCTATATTTTTCTGTATTTTTATATTGCAATACCTCCTTTCAATCCTTCTGATTGTCTGTCACTGATAATCTTTTCTTTTTTATCAATTTGTTTGTTTGTGTGTGTGTGTGTTTACGTGCGTATGTGTGTGTGTCCTCTTTGATGTTTTATTGGCGTGCTGTTTTTGTATGCATGACGGCTTACTTTTTGTTATTTTTTCTTCTCCCCCCCCCTCTCTCCCTCTTTCTCTCTTTCTCTCTCTTTCTTTCTTTCTTCAACTCTTCCGTTTTAACTTTCGCTGACAATTGTTTAATTAATTTTCCATTTTAATTTAATTTATTTATTCATACATTCACTATTTAGCCTTAGATGTTTTTTTCAACCAGAATATACGTGTATTTAGATAAGGCGAGAATAACGGAGTATGAATAAAGTCATTTGGAAGGTTCAGCAGCATCTGCATTCAGCATCTTTTGTTTTATTGTACTGTACTTCCGAAATGGATGAAATGTTTGTAGTTTTATTTTCTACACAATATAGAATAATTAATAAAAATCTTTCAACGATCAACAAAAAGATGCCGATAAAAATGAAAAAAAGTTTAAAAAATATTTCATAAATAGTATCACAAATAATAAAAATAATAATTAAAATCTTTGTCGTCATCATCGTCATCATCACAACCTCCATCATCATCGTCATCAGGGTAGCGCTCATTATATTCACGTTATCATTCGGAATTATCATCATCAACATTTTTGCAATTATTGTTATTATTATTGTTATTATTATTGTTATTATAATCGTCATAATAAGCATCGTCGTCTATATGTTCATCCCCCGAAATGTCACCCTCCCCATCACATCAGTCACCAATGTCTTTTCTTCATCGTCATCATCAACATAGCATCGTCGTCATCGTCATCATTATCATAACGACCATCACAATCGCTATCATAATCATCATCGCCATCATCATTATCATCATCGTCGTCGTCGTCAACATCTTCACCAGCGACCAGCCATCGACAGCAGACAGCGCATAATATATTCATAACGTTACGTCACGCGGCCTCAACCAATAGGAGGAGAGAAATGGAAATATGAAATTAATAACTGGATGGGAATATTGATGTGGGAGGGATTAAATGAGCTATCTGACGTGCACATGTACCACTGATGTCGTCCTTCTTTCCTCAAAGCCTGGATGATTGAAGGAAATATGAATAAATTACTGAGTGGATTAATGATTTAATGGTTTGATTAAATTGAAGAATAAATAAATGAGTGAGTGAGAAAATTAGCGAGTGAATGAATGAATGAATGAATGAATGAATGGATGTATGTATGTATGAATGAATGAATGAATGAATGAATGAATGAATGAATGAATGAATGAATGGATGTATGTATGTATGAATGAATGAATGAATGAACGAATGAATGAACGAATGAATGAATGAACGAATGAATGAATGAATGAATTAATGAATGAATTAGTGAATGAATGAATGAATGAATTAATTAATGTGTGAATGAATGATTGAATGTTAGGTAGTCTAATTATAACATTCAATATGGTAGTCTAATTATAACAGGGCTAATGAGAAAGAAAAACGAAAATATAAAATGCGAAGAAACGAATGAACGAATAAATAAAATATAAAATGATTTCAACGTTGACGAACAAATGAATGAATGAATGAACTAACAAACAAACGAACAAATAAATGAATGAATGAATGAATAAATGAGTGAATATAGAAATACTATGATTGTGCAAACGAATGCATGTAAATAAAACAAATCCACTGGAAAATCAATGGATTCCCTCTCACCTCCACCAACTAAACAATTTTCATTCCTCCATCCATTCATCCAATAGTAGTACATTCATTTATTCATCTTCTAATTTATTTATCCATTTATCTTATAATTCATTCATTCATCCATCTTACATTTAATTTCTCCATCCATCCTGCATTTCATTCCTCCATCCATTCAACACTTCATTCATTCATTCATCTTACATCTTCCAAATGATTGAAAAAGTGAACAGAGTAAATGAATAAACAAAGTGAATGAATAAGCAGAGAGTGTAAATAAACAGAGTGAAGTTAGTGAATGAATGAACAGAGTGAATGAGTGAATGAGTGAAGAGACTGAATGGGTGAGGTGCACTGCGTAGTGATTATTATGCCACAAATAATTGAAGAAATGAATGTTGTTGTCGTTGATGAGTTGATGGTGATTGTGATGGTGATTGTGAGGATGATGGTGAGGATGATGGTGAGGATGATGGTGAGGATGATGGTGAGGATGATGGTGAGGATGATGGTGAGGATGATGGTGAGGATGATGGTGAGGATGATGGTGAGGATGATGGTGAGGATGATGGTGAGGATGATGGTGAGGATGATGGTGATGATGATTACGACTATTGATGATGATGATGACGATGATGATGACGACGATGATGATGACGACGATGATGATGATGATATGATGATAATATGATGATAATGATGGCGATGATGATGATGATGATGACGATGACGATGATGATGATGATAAAAAAAGAGATAATAGATTACTGAATGATAATAATGGTGATGATAATTATGAAGAAAAAAAGGAACAAAAGGTGTTGACGACGACGATGATGATGATGATGAGGAAAAAATTAATAAACAATTAAATAATATAATGATAATTATGATGAAAATGAAGATGAATGAAGATGGTGACGAGCTAGGAACTGATGACAATGTTCATGATTTGAAGAAAGCCAAACAATTTTCAAGTAATTGTTTTTCTAAGTTTAAGCTAAATTTAAACACGTTTAATTTTGTGTTGTGTTGGGTCTACATGTTGCAGGCGTTCGAGTCGTTGATGGGTCGTTGGTGACGATGCTGATGACGCAACATATTGATTGTTGTTCAATTGAAGAGTCGTTGTTCGATATTCTTACATCACTTGCCATCTGCGTGCATGTTGTTGTGTTGTTGATGTTGATGGTGCTGATGTTGTTGTGTTGTTGATGTTGTGTTGATGTTGTGTTGATGTTGTGTTGATATTGTTGTTGTTGCTGATGGTGTTGTTGCAATGTTGCTGTCATTAAAGTAATTCATAAGCAATATTTCTAAATACTGTGTTGTTGATGTTGCAATGCAGTTAATACGAGAGTTGTCGTTGTATAGTTGAAGATTTTGCAATTAATAAAATTTTTTTAAATTGCTTCACCAACACACACAAACACACACATTCACAAAAATAAACAGACACACACAAACACCACAAAAATAAAAATTATATATATATACATAAATAGTATATAAATTTTTATAATATATATATATATAAATTTATATATATACAAATTTGTACGATAAACCCAATGCAAAAACGCAAGGGTGCACGAACGCTCACCTCATCTGACTTCATAGCATTTCTTAATGCGTTTTAACATTTTAATGTCGGAGCGAGTCTATTCTCGTCTGCTGACATCATCATCGGCCAGCATCAGCAGCAGTTAGGAGGACAACAATGTCCATTAGACGCTGACATTATCATCGCCACATATTACATCAGCAACATCACATCATCTACACGTGGTCGAAATTGTATAATGCCGTATAGATATGTTTAACAACAACGACATCAACAGGCAACAACGCGCAACAACATACAACAGCACACAACAGCACACAACAAGTGACAAAAACACACGACGGAACGCAAAATGGACAAACAGCGCACAACAACGTACAACAACACGCAACAACATGCAACAACACGCAACAACACACACAACAACACGCAACAACACGCAACAGCACGCAACATGGACGGACAGCGCAAGACATTTATTACAGCGTACAGTGCTTGCCTGGCATATTGCTTAATGCATTTATATTTTTTAATTTAAACTTTCAACGTGGCATCCAAGTTTAAATTTGCAAGCATAATGGAGATCAATGGTAATTTTTATATGCACATGTTGGCTTGCTTGCAACACCACCTATACAATCTATAAGATATCTACAAGAAAACGTAAAACATACAAACACATGTCCAACTTATCAGTATGCTAACTTATTTTTATCAGAATATAAAAAATGTATCTCTATGCACAATGTATAACTTTTAAGATGTGTTTGTAAACTGTCTAGTAAATTTATAAAGCACATACACACAGACAATAACACGCACGTACATGTACACTGTACACACACACACATTTACATTTATGTCACAAATGCACATTAACGATCATGCTTATTTCCTCACACACGCACGCACACGAACACAAACAAACAAACACACACACACACTCACAATTATACCAACATACGTATACATATGTTATATACGTTCATACATTTGTATAGATAGAACCACGGCCAATGTTTATGCCTATGTGTGCTTAAATATGCTTATGCTTTGACTCGCTTTCAAAGAACGGATGGAAGGTTGAAATCAAAATTAATGAAACGTCAGGCCAAATAAAGATATATATTAAATTTCGTAAACGTCTTCTGCGAACCTCTATGCTAACTGCATTTATATAGCGCATAATAAAACTCGTGTATGTTTCTCTGCTTGCTTACCAGAAGTTGATGCTGTTGTTGTTGTTGTATTTGATGTTGATGTTGTTGTTGTATTTGATGTTGATGGTGTTGCGGTTGTTGTTGTTGATGTTGGTTGATGTTGATGCTGTTGTTGTTGCGGTTGCGTTTTTCGTTTTTGTTGTTTGTTGCTAATGTTGTTGTGTTATTTTTAAGATTTTGTCCTCAAGTTGTTGTGCAGTTTCTGTGGATGTAGTTTCGTGTAATTGTTTATTTTATCTGTTTGCTTGGGCTGGCTGTCGTTTGGTTTTTGTTGACTTTTGTTATTTTCTCTCTTTCTGTTGAGTTTCAGTTTTCAGCTTTATCTGTTAAGTTGTTGTCGTTGTTGAAGTTGCTGGGGATGTTGTTGAAGTTGTTGTTGTTGTTGATGATGTTGTTAGTGTTGTTGTGGGTGTTGTTGTTGCTGATGTTTTATTGATTATGTTGTTGTTGATGTTGCTACTGTTTATGCTGATGCTGTTGCTAATATTGTTAATGCTATTGTAGTTTATGTTGTTGTTGATTTTCGTTCTTTTTAATTAATTTTTTAGCCCATCTTTGTTAGCGATGCTAATGTTTGCTTGTGTAGGTCTATCTCTCTGTGGCGGTACGACATCTTATAAACTATAGACTTTTAAACTTATAGACCAGAAATCTATAAACTTGTTGATACACACTCGGTCGGTTGGCATGTTTTGTTGTTTCTATGAGCGTACTCGTTGTTCTGTCTCCTTGTTTGACGTGACCGTCGGCGTTGCTAATGTTATTTATCGTGATTTGACTGGTTTTTGTTTTATTGGCGCGGCCTTCAACATGATATTCTTCTTTTATATTTTTAACTCCAACAAACAACAAGAATGCACTGACGTCAAATCTTTTCTCCAACATTCAATTCATTCATTCGTTTGATTGATTGATTGATTAACTGATTGATTAACTGATTGATTATTAACTGATTGATTAACTGATTGAATAATTAATGGATTGGTTAGTTGCAGTTTCAGGCAAGATTTGTATCTAGTAAAGTTTTTGGCATATTCATACTAACACGAACTAGATGACACAATGTAAATTGAGATGCGTAAAATCCTATCTGTGTGAATCGCCAAATATTGCTTCATGAAAATTTGAAGAAGGAACAAAATTCTTCTTAGCATAAGCCATTTGCTACAAAATGCAGTTTATTTTAAAGTGGTCGGTTCGTCAGATTTGCGGGTGACGTTCTTCCATGCAAGCATCCTGAAAAGTACAACCTTATTTGCGCCATTCTTTCTTTCAGTATATGTTTTAGTTTAGAAAAAAAAATAAAAAATACGCTCTTACGAAGATCAATCAATCAGTTAATCAATCAATTAAAAATAGGTAATGAATGAATGAATGAATGAATGAATGAATGAATGAATGAATGAATGAATGAATGAACGAATGAATGAATGAATGAATGAACGAATGAATGAATGAATGAATGATTGAATGAATGAATGAATGAATGAATGAATGAATGAATGAATGAATGAATGAATGAATGAATGAATGAATTAATGAATGAATGAATGAATGAATGAATGAATGAATGAATGAATGAATGAATGAATGAATGAATGAATGAATGAATGAATGAATGAATGAATGAATGAATGAATGAATGAATGAATTAATGAATGAATGAATGAATGAATGAATGAATGAATGAATGAATGAATGAATGAATGAATGAATGAATGAATGAATGAATGAATGAATGAATGAATGAATGAATGAATGAATGAATGAATGAATGAATGAATGAATGAATGAATGAATGAATGAATGAATGAATGAATGAATGAATGAATGAATGAATGAATGAATGAATGAATGAATGAATGAATGAATGAATGAATGAATGAATGAATGAATAATTGAATAAATTAATTTATTAATTATGTTTTTTTAATTTCTTGAAGAAATGTTGAGGCCAATGACGTCTTTTTTGTTCTTGTCGATGTTTGAAATCATTTTCCTCTTTTGGCCGGTTTCATTGAATTTTTATAAAGTTTTAAACATCCACCACAGTTTTTTGCAATGCCATCCATATATTTTTTGTCAGGTTTAACAAAATCTCTAGATAAATTTTCTTTTTAATTTTTTCAACTGTTCAAACATTCCTCATCATCCGCTTTCTGTTGTCAACTGTTCATCAACTGTTGCAGCTGGTCATGTTGAAAGACGCATGCAAATGGTTGAAATTAAAAAAACTTAATGTGCAAAATGCTGAATAATCTTAACAAATATTTTTTAAAAACATATAAACAAACAAGTTGACGTTAAAATCTCTTGAATAGAAACATGAAAATAATACACAACATGTTAGTAGTGAGCCTTATAAACATTTGAACGTAACCAAACATTCAAACCAGTTCAAAACGAAAATACAAACAAACAAACAATCAAGCAAACAAACAAACAAACAAAAGAAATAAAACAAGCAAATAAGAAAAAAACAAACATACAAAAATTCATATTTACAAACAAGCAAACATACAAACAAAAAATTACAAATATACAAACCAGAAAAAACACAAGCAAACAAACATACATACATACACACACACATAAATACATAAAAACAAAAAATATACAAACCACAAAACATACAAACAAACAAACATATAAAGAGACAAACATACAAGCAAACAAATATACAAACAAGCAAACATAAACACACGTGTTGGAGATTTATGTTACCCGCGAGAATGAGACAATTGATGTCTTGCATCCCGCTAACTGCTATCATATCAAACCATGCTGTCTGCTCGATTTGTCGATGACATTTATATTCATACTTGCTAGCATCAGCCAACAGTCCTTTCTTTGCTTCTGCTTGCACGCACATATACATACGTACACCTACATGCATACAATCATACATGCGTAAACACATAAATACACATACACACACATACATATATGCATACATACATACATACATACATACATACATACATACATACATACATACATACATACATACATACATACATACATACATACATACATACATACATACATACATACATACATACATACATACATACATACATACATACATAAATACATACATACATACATACATACATACATACATACATACATACATACAGATAGCAAATTTTTCAGCCAGTCTGTATTGAGACCTTTGGTCCAACCGATTTTCAGACTCAGAGTTTTCTGAATGAACTCTGTAGCAGGATTGTAGAAGTATCGGATTGTAGAAGCATTAGATAAGAGTTATGTAAAGCAATCTTTCTCTATTTTACTTCAAAAATAAAATTCTTTCTGTATTTTGGATGGAGCGTTAAAATACCTGTCTGTGCGAAGCGTTTAACATAGATTAAAGCTGAACCCGGATATGATTATTACTTCCTTATAGTTCTAATCAATTATGGGCTCACACATACATGTATGCGTTTGCGTATGTTTACACTTAAAATTCATACACGAAATTCCAAAAACGTAAACATATACAAAAACATTTCCAAGACTATAGAAACAAAAACAAACAAACAAACTAAACAAAACTTGTACTGCATACCTGCTTTTGCACGTTTAAAACATTCTCTTTATGCGTTACTCTTTGAACTGAACATGATCGTAAAATTTACATACAAACAACCGAGTAAGATGCGATGCGCGTGTACACATGTTTGTATTTTGTTGAAATTCAAAGTGTGCCTTACATACGTTTCAATGTTCGCCTACTTACTTATTGATATTACATGCATTTGCATGTGTTTTATACCTTTTTGCTTGTTTTTTTTTATCTATATAATGATGGACAACCAAAAATGTTTGAAGATATTTTTGTTGAATTGTATGAACAAACGAGGTGTTGTTGAATGAGGCTGCGATGTGTTGCCGTGCTGGAAGTTATTTACATGTCAGCATCTCCAACACACGTCTGTCTCCTTGTATGTCAATGCAAATGTGAATCGTCCGGCTGCTACTGAAGATGAAGAAGATGACGACGACGATAATGACGATGTTGGTGGCGATGATGGTGATGATGATGATGATGATGGATGTGACTTACTGATGATGATGTTTTTGATAACATTACATATAAAAATTACAACAACAACGGTTTCGACATCGAGATTGATTATAAGCAACAAATTAATTTTAACAAATTGTTATTATTGTATCATTATTTTCCGTCATCATCATCATCACAACCACCACCACCATCATCATCATCACCATCAATTATTATATTTGTATTTTCTGCTATCAAAAGCATCATCATCATCGTCGTCGTCATCGTCATCATATATAACTAACTAACTATATATCGACCTAGTCGTTATCATCACCACCACCATTACTTTCATCATAATCATCACCCACAACGTCGTCATCATATCATGACATGTGTGGACGGACAGAGACAAGAAATGCTTGGACACAATAAGAATAATAACAACAATAATAATCATAAGAAGAAGAAGAGGAAGCAGAACAACAAAAACAGCAACAAAGCGCGCAACAATAAAATTATCGAAAACTTTACAACAGCATACAAATAAAATTAATAATAAAAATCAATTGTGATAATAATAATAATAATAAAATGACATTAATGATAATAACAATATTACTACCACTACAACAACCACTACTATTACTACTTTACTACTTCTGCTACTACTACTACTACTACTACTACTATTACTACGACTACTACTACTACTACTACTACTACTACTACTACTACTACTACTACTACTACTACTACTACTACTACTACTACTACTACTACTACTACTACACTACTACTACTACTACTACTACTACTACTACTACTACTGTTGTCACTACTACTACTATTACTACAACAACAACTACTAGTACTACTCCTACTACTAATAATAATAACAATAGTAATAATAATAATAATAATAATAATAATAATAATAAGCAGTTGGTCAGTCGGATTGGTATAATTTAATCGGAGAGGTGAGTCATTGAGTTAACGATGTGCAACTCAATGGAGTGAGGACACATATTTATGTGTGCACTTGTTCATGCTTTCGTTCGCTCCTTCATTCATTTTTCGGCACTTGTTCATGCTTTCGTTCGCTCCTTCATTCATTTTTCGGCACTTGTTCATGCTTTCGTTCGCTCCTTCATTCATTTTTCGCTCCTTCGTTCATCCTTTCATTCATTTTCTACCCATTCTTTCATTTTCGTTTTCATTTATTTCTTCGATCATCTGTTTTCTTTTTTTTTTCTCCAATCACTCCTTTATTTTCATTCCTCCATTCACACCTTTTCATATTATCATTTTTTATTTTCATTATTATTTGTCGAATAGTTCTTATTATTTTTATTCATTACTGTCATTACTTTTATTATCTTTTGTTATCAATCGCAGCACATCCCTACTTCCTCCGAAAACATCCTAACTGGCATTTCATTCCATCTCTTAATTTTTATAAATATTCAGCCGAGCCACCATTACAAAAAAACATTAACCAACATGCATCTGCCTATCAAATAATTTCTCATTGGTCGAGGCGCGTGCATTTTGTGCAAACTTCAAATGAATATTAGGAACGTGAAAATTTTATGCTTATCAAATATACTCACGCACACACACACACGCGCGCGCACACGCACGCATACACACGCACGGAGAAAGATAAGCAAATGCATTTTATATGAGTTTCAGATGCATGCATTCAGGCATGCATGTTGTGGTGCATTGTTGTTTTTGTATGCATGGAGTCATGTTAATGTTAACACTTGCTCAGACGTAAGGTCACGCCGATGTGACAAAATCCTTTCGCTGTGAAAATTATAAGAGTTTGCGCCTTAATAATATGAATTATCCAGATGCTAGTCTGTCT